CTCCATACCTTCCTCATCTCCTTACCCTCCACACCTGCTTATCTTCCCATCTTCCTCACCTCCTCCAGCCTCACCTCCACACCTCCATGCCTTTCTCACCTTCCTCCCTTCCTCACCTCCAACCTCCAAACCTCCTCACCCTCCTCACTCCCCACCTCCCTCCCTCACCTCCCTACCCTCCTCACCTCCTCACCTCTTCACCTTCCTCTCCTGCTCAGTCTTCATCTCACCTCCTAACGGCCTCACCCCCTCCCTCCTCTTCCCTTCTCATTTCCTCATCTCCACAGGCCAGGATGGAGCTCCCGAACAAGGCTCTGTGGAGCGAATCATCAACAGTCTTGTCGTGCTTTGGGCAGTAATTGAAGTCAGACTTTGAGACTAAAGTTTAGTCTAGAATGTTTCTCCTGTTTAGCTAGTGCTGTGTGGTATTAGGTAAGTTTTGAAATTGCCTAATGTCACATCATAATTAAAGACGTGTTATTCGCTGTTGATGTATGTGAAAGACACTTCAAGCTGCTGAAAAACACGATGGCGTGAAGTTCCGTTTACTCGGAGCCTCCCTCCGTGGTGCCAGCAGGCGCCAGCTCACTGAGCATAGAGCGAGAGCCGCTGCGTTGGCCTGGGGAGTGCGGATAAATCCGGGAGGGCGGTTTCCTCCGGGTAGCGTCAGGTCATCTGGGGCAGTGTTTTTGTTCCCTGTTTATTCTTGCCGCTCGAGCCATTTGGTTGGCTGGACGCCCTCGCTGCCCGTGAGCCCCCCTCAGCAAGCGCCCCTTCCCCTCCCAGCACCCTCCGTCCCGGTCCCGGAGGCGCGTCAGGCAGGAGAAAAGTGGGGAGAGGGAAGCACCAGGCCTGCTCGGGCCTTCCGGAGTGCAGCGGTTTCCAGCAGTGGCCCCGTGTGCGTGTGAGGGCCCACGGTGTCCAGTGTCACCTTCCTGGCTGTCTGCTGAGCGCAGACGCAGGTGAGGGTGGCCTGGGCTGCGGTGGGTGTGGGCGGGCAGGCCTCACCCTTCTTGCTTTCTTGCTCTCTGCCCCTCGGCCAGGGCCCTGGACTTCGGGTACCTGACCCAGGACATGATTGACGACTATGAACCGGCCCTCATGTTCACCATCCCCAGGTTGGCCATCGTGTGGTGAGTGCTCCCCGGGCCCGGGGCAGCCGCCGTGCAGAAGCCGGGCAGGACTGTGGAGGACTGGGCCCCTTCTGGCACTTACACCCCCAACGCTGGCTGTCAGCCGCCTGCACAGCACCACGCAGGCCTGCTGGCGCCCCTCACCAGTGTTCTGAGGGTGAGGGGGGGACCCCCCCACCCTAGATAGTGCGAGATGGCTGGACACCCAACACCCGGCTGGACAGGTGACGTGGACAGTCGCTGGACTCACAGCCCAGGGGAGGAGCACCCCGCACACCGCATGGAACCACGTGGGGTGCACACAGAAGCAGAGCGCCCAGCTCGGGCCGTGGGGGGAGGCTGCGTGTAAGGAGAGGGTGGGACGCCCCTGGCTCCCGTGGGCAGGTGTGACGGGGTTACCTGAGCCATTCAAGGCTGGCGTGGAGGTGAAATGAAAGCTGTCAGGTGAAGAGGAGGTGGGAGCAGCTGGTCTGGCCAGGGGGCCGGGGGGCGTGCCTGGGCGGGAGCCTTTCCTGCTGGGCGGAGGAGGGGGGAGATGAGTGGCGAGAGCAGGCGAGCTCAGGCTTGGGCCTTTGGGGTCTGGTGGGCTCAGAGACGCCAGGCAGCACCCGGTTAGGCCCTAAGTATGCCAAGGCAGGAAGTGCCCGATCACTTGCTGGGTGCCCAGAGCTTCCCCGAGCCAAGGTCAGAGCCCAGGTGTTGTGGGCTTGGTCCACTGCTGTTCAGCCACACCCTGACTCCCGCACAGGGACTGCCCTTCTCTCCTGCCAGGTGAGGGGGCAGGGGGAGGGCGGTCACAGAGGGAGGAGGAGGGCAGTGGGCCACGGGGGTCTCTGTGGGCCTGGAAGTTAGGGAGGGGCCCGGTGGGCAGCTGGTGTGCAGGCGTGCAGCTGGGCAGAGAGGACGGGAGTCCTCGGGGCAGATGCCGATTGTGGATGTGATCGTCAGCGAAAGCCGCCCTGGGGGAGTGTGGGGTGACGCGGAGGCCAGGACTGGTCCAGGCACAGAATCCCCTCCTTGGGAAATGGGGGTGCGGTGGCAGAAACAGTGGGGGGCAGTGGCGGTGCCGCAGGATGGGGCCAGCTTCTGGGCCAGAGGGGCTTCCCTCGCCCACAGGGGGCGGGACTCGTGGTGTGCCATGCGGAAGTGTGGGAGCTGCGGGCAGACCCCGCCCTGGGCTGGCCCAGAAGCACCTGCTGCTGCCCTGAGACCCCGGAGATGAGCAGAGGCTTGGCTGAGAAAGGGCTGGGAGACAGGCCAGGGCAAGCAGCTGTCACTTCCCAGGACCCCAGGGAACCCTGAGCAGCGCCCTCTGGACATCTCACTTTCCCGGGTGGGGCAAGGGGGCAGCCGCCTGGCCTCAGTCTCCCTGGCCTGGCTGTGTCCTCAGAGCCGGCTTCCCTGGGGGTCTCAGTTTGCCAGAACCCCTTGGGCCTGGTGCCTCCTTCTGTTGTCCTTGTCCCCAAGAGACAGTGTCCTAATCAGGGAAAACAGGAGTGGGTCCCATCACACCAGAGGGGCAACATGTCACAGTCGCCTCAATTGCTGGGCTCTGGGACTCTCCCTCCACCTGAAGCTGGAGGAGGCAGAGGACAGACGTCCCCAGTGGGCCAACTCACGTGGTCTGGCCTGACATGTCCTGGAGCGTCCCCTCGGACGGGGCCATGTGATTTTGTTACATTGTTTGCTTTCTAGGCAATGGTTCTCTGTGGCCAAACGTGTAGAAGAAAACGCTGCTTCGAGCCGGGGCCTTAATGTTTATGGGGTGGGGGGCGCTAGGGTCTGCAGCCCTTCCCGTGAGAGCCGGCTTTGCCCTTCCTCTGCAGTTCACACGCCGCTTTGCGGGAAGCGCCCAGCCCCTGGCCTGGCCCTGGTTCTTTCCTAAATTCCTTGGCGAGTGCCTGGAAGCTCAGGATCAGGTGCCCCCGCCACGGAGCCCCCTCGTGGGGTCTGTGGCCGCCCGATGGGGTTCCCAGGCTGCCTTTCCTTCAGAGCTGCCTCACAGCGCACAAAGGCCGGCGCAGGTGCGCACTGACCGGCCTGCTCTGACGAGCTGCCCCGCAGTGAGGAGCCCCGCACAGCACCCCGGGGGCCGGGCAGCACCCTGCATCTCGGGTCAGGACGGACTTGCCTGTTCTAAGCCTCATGGGAGCACCAGACTCTCTTAGGCGGTTTTAAAATAAACCCCGGTTTAGGATAAGGTGCGGCATCAGACAGCCTCAGCGCATGGCTTCCGGGTTCTTACCCTGAAGCCTGCCGAGTGGGTCTGTTCAGCCCTTTACCAGCCTACCTGCCAGCATTGGCCCAGGCCCGGTGACCACAGGACCATGGTCTCAGGCCTTTCTATTGTCACTGAGCGGCCACCTGAGGCCACCTCTCCCTGACTGGCATCACTGCACCCTGTTTGCAGACCACGGCTGCCCCGCACACATCTGAGCTTCTGTTCCTTCTCTGTCCCTCGTCCTGGGAGGGAGAGTGAGGGCCCCGTGGGCTGGGCCCTTGCCCTGTCGTCCCCCCTGGCAGCCCCGTGTGGAGTTCCCTCGGAAGTCCCCAGAAATGAGGGGGCTCCAAGTCACAGCGAAGGGAGGCAGCTTTGCAGTTGGATTGAAGGGAGAGCAGGTGCAGGCCAGGCCGGCCAGAAGTGGGAGCAGATGCAGGGGCCCCAGGCGCAGAGCATGGGGAGCAGAGGGGCTCGGCTTGGCTTGGCCAGGAGGGTGGCCTCGCTACAGCTACCCCCGTCCACCTCAGAACCTCGCCAGCCCTCGAGCAGAGGCAGGGGGCTACAGCCTCAGAGCCAGGCTGCCTGGCCGTGGCCGAAATCCTCCTTCCTTCCTGGAGGAAGCTGTTCCCAGAGCCGCCCCCTTCAGGGTTGCCTCCCCAGGTGCCTGATGCTGCCTCTCTCCTTCCTCACTGTCCTTGGTGGCTGCTCTGGGCCAGACAGGCAGCATCACAGCTGCACGGGGTGGGGCCTGGGCCTTGCTCTGTCTGTATTTGCCCAGCGAGCATGTGTGGAGCACCTGCTGTGTACCTGACCCTGTGCTTGTCCCCAGGGACACTATTATGCCCGTGGGGAGTGCACGGGTAGGTGAAACAAGCAGTTGCTGTGGAGTGTTCTGGATGCTGGGGTGGGGTAGGGGGCCTGGAGCAGGACCCTCTGGAGTGGACAAGAGCTGGTAGCACGGGGGAGAGGCTCCCTGGGTTCTGGAGCAGAGCTCCGGGAGTCAGGATGGGAGCCTGGCAGGTGGTGGACTGCGGGCAGGCAGCATGTGCAAAGGGCCAGAGGCAGGAAGACCTCTGGCTGAAGGGAGAAGGGTGACCCGTAGACACTTGGTTGGCGGTAAAGCCAACACTCCTGGAATGACAGCCTTCTAGGGTCACGTCTGTGATGTGGGTTGGTGGGATCCCCTGAGGACAGAGGGGGATCTGGGAGTGTAGCCTCTCTGCCACTCTGTCCCCCTCGCCCTACGTCCAGCCCCTTCCCACCAGGTTGGGAAGACGCCCTGCTCTGAGCTCTCCCAGGAGCAACACATCCTCTGAGGTGGTCTCTCTGGCCCATCACAGGTCAGAGGCACAACCCAAGCCAGCCCGGCCCTCTGCCTTGTGACCGCTGGGCAGGTGCCTGAGGCAGGGGCGGTAAACTGAGGTCTGAGAGAGGGCTATGTGGGGGCCTGGAGGTTCAGGAGGAGGCCAGTCCGGCCCAGGTAGAGGGTGTCCACGGCCAGCTCGGGTACCAGCCCTGGACCCTGGGCCCAAGCTCCCCCATTTCCCTGGCACCCCGGACCTGGTCCTCCCTCACTCAGCTACATGTCCCGGGGGAAAGTGAGTCTCCACGTGGTTCTGACTGTGACAGACTAGTTTCACTCCTGACGGTTTATCTGAAAACAGTTGGAGTTGTTTTACACGAATAAGGAAACTAACAGTCTCCAGGTTCTGTGCCCTGGTGACTGGCCCCATCAGGG